AATGATTTGTTCAATTAGCTTTCTGGAGACATACAGTAATAAAGTGCTGTATGAATGGGTAATTGAGGACACAGATTGTAGTGTAAAGCGCTTTGAGTATCTCAATAAGATAGAAAGGCGCTATATAAGTACAGTCCATTTACCATTTACATAAGCAAACTTCCATATCAAGGGAATATACCCAGTATCCAAGGATGGAATAAAAATATATGTTAGAGGTGGGGCAATAAAATCAACAGCTAACTTCAAGAAATAGGGTTCCAATTTATCTAGACCTGCTGATTTTTTAGGGTCTAAAAAATTTAATAACATTATGCACTTCAGATATAGTAAAATTCTTGAAGTTAAAAGGGTTGTGTCGTCATCAGTGGGGTATCTAGATAAGAAACAGAAGAGTTTTCAGGAGAGGCACTTACAGAATTAAATATAGAAGCTGAGGTGATGAAATGTCTTAAAACATTCAAGCATTTCTTGTTTATCAGAGATTACTTTGAGTCTTTTAAAATACACGAAGGAGATCTAAAGTGTTAGTATCACCATTTAAAGATTTAATGGTATTCCAGAATTTATGTGGATTATTAAAATTTTTTGTAGTTTCTGTTAAAAAATGTTGAGCTTCTGCATTTCTAATTGCACCTGTTGTAATATTGCGAAGTCTTCTAAAGTTCTGCCAGTCAGAGCACAGCACAGTTGTCCTCGCCCTGGTCTATGCCTTGTTGCGCTCATGAAAAATATCTGACAATCTGGAATTAAACCAAGCATTATCACGTCCTTTTACTTTAAATTTCTTAAAGGGGGCATGTCGGTCAACTATTTTTGAAAAACTATCATAATAAAAATCCCAAGCATGTTCAACATCTGCAATAAGACAGATTCTTTCCCAATCAAAATGATACAGATCATGACTAAATCCTTGTTCTGAAAAGTGCTTCAAATCTCTTTTAAAAATAATATGAGGTTTTTCTCTAGGAAGCTTAGATTTTCTGACTGTGGCAATAACACAATGATCACTGATGTCATTAGCAAACACCTTTTTTTTCCTCCTAGGCTCTCATCAAGGTGGCAGCTTCTGTTTTTCCTCCGGCATTTTTCCTTCTTCCTGCTCTGCTCTCTGTGTGTCTGAAGTGCCTGGGTCTCATCTCCCGAACATAAATTAAGAAGATTATTGATTTGGTATCGTGGGCATTCAACTCTATTGATAAGATTTTTTTCATCAAAGCGACAAGGTCCTGGAGAATCGGCGTGTCCAGCTGAGACTCACGCTGTGGGGTATGTCATGGATTCATGGGGAGTGTGGCAGATGATGTGTCTCTCAGTTCTGTCTCAGGAGGATGTTGAAGACGTTTACATATTTGGAATTATGATAGCAGGGACTCTGCTTTTTGCCATCGGTGGGGCTCTGTTTTATCGACTTTTGAAGCAGATGACGGCAGCAGTTTCGACCACGGTAAAGCTTCCGAGTCAATATGAAGGTCTGGTCCACACTGTGGGAACTTTGAATTGTCTGGTTTACGAGCTTAACCGTAAGGTGGAGGCAATTGAGAATCGCAGACCACCTGCGGCTTCTGGGACTTGTCAGCGTGGTGGGTTCGACCTTGAAGGAGACTCAGCATGGATCAGTGGAATGGAATCCCACAATTAGGCATTTTCGGAACCAGAATGCCCAGATGGACTCAAGGCTGGAAAAATGTAATCTGTCTGCCTGAAGAAAAACAAGAATCAAGCTTATCTGAATCTGACCCCCGACGGCCTGGGAGACAGGCCGAATATCAAGTTTCTCCTGGGACATGAGTACCCAAGGACAAAAGCTTCATCTATCGCACCCCTCACCCCGAGAGCTTTCTGTGCAAGCTGATCAAAACTGCTGGCTGGAACAATATCTTCAGAGACTGTGGCTGATCTGAAAAAAGGCTCATGGACAAATCTCAACACCTTGATGTGAAATGCAAATGTAATCATGTTTTAATTGTGCTTGCTGGTAGAGTTTTTTTGATGTCTCAAATCGTGTCCTGATAGACAAGATGTGAAAGATCTTTTTTTTTGTAATACCACTATCTACCCTCATGTTTCTACCCCTTTTCCTATCTAAGATTATTATCTGATAAGGATAAAATGACCGCGCTTTCTACAGTTGCAGCTTCGTGCACTCCGCCCATCTTTCGGATGACTGTACGTACATATTAGCGTTGTACCTTGGTGCAATTCCAATAACGTTTATTCTGATTCTGAAGCAGAGGAGTATTTGTGTGGGATGTTGATATAAAATCAATAAGTGAGACTTTTGCAGGATTTTTAGGATTGGGTCTAGTAGGACAATCAACAATTTGAAATAGATTTAATGAATTGCAAGAAGTTTTGAATTAATCTGAAACTGGTTGAAGCCAGTTCCAGTTCAAATCTCCTAAAATAACCATCTTGTTTGCATGTAACTGTTCAAAAAGTTTCTTTAAGATTGGAAGTGCATCGCTAGCTGATGGTGCTCTATAACAACCAATCACAGTAATATGTTAATTGCCAGAAATTTCCAGATCAACTGCAAGAAACTTAAATTGTTTGGGTTCATATTTAGAAAGAAGCACCTTGGATCGAAACTTATTTTTTATATAAATAGCAACACCGCCACCGCTTTTTGGATGATTGGCTCTATAAAGATTATAACCACTGATGGTAACCTCCTTATCCTGGACAGATTTACTTAACCAAGTTTCTGACAAAACAGTTACATCAGCATTTGTGGGGACCACCCAAATGCGAACCATATCCATTTTTGTGATCAAACTGTGCACATTTAAATGTATCAAACCAAGTCCATTATGAGCTTTAAAATCAGCAGGAGTGTCAAAAGTAATTTTAACATCTGGACCAGGATTAGTTTTCACATTCCCAGAGATTAAAAGCAATAAAATAATGAAACCTCTATGCTTTGTTTTATTATTATAGGAATTTCCCTTTATATATAGATTTGAAATAAAAACAAGTGAACTATTTGAAGAAATAGCAAAATGCTCTTGGAGTACGATTATGCTAATCAAATTAGCTAGATCCATGGGCTCAGTCAGAAATGGAAAAAATGGTGGTTATTTTATGAGCAGTTCAGAATCAAGAAGGCATGTTTTACAACCCAAATGGGACTGATATTCAGAGAAGACATACAAATTATTCTTATGAATGATTCCGTTTACACTGTTCCAGAGAAAAAAAATACAGGCCTGCAAAACTCCAAATTAAAGCTATTTTGCAATTGTTTATCCAAGGAGAGAAATGAATACAATCCAGGGCCAGCGTACAAACCCAGTCCAACTTCTCCTTTACGCTCCTCTAAGCCACCACAACGTCAGATGTAAACAAGAAGATGCCATACCATACCACTTTATTTATAGAGCACTTAAAACAGCGACAAGGCCAACCAAAGTGCTGTACAGACAAAACAACAGGTAACACACAAAGCAAAATACAAAATGAGGTAAATCAGAATATAGACACAAAAACGATGCAGATAATGACGACTAACCAGTGTGGAGCATACAGGATCAAAACACAGATCATCTGGTGTTGAAAGCTACTGAATAGTAGTGAGTTTTTAAACGGGACTTGAAAACC